AAGGGTCCCTTTTTGTTTTATTGACTATAAAGCGTGCGTGATAATTACGCATTCTATTATATAGATAGGGGACCTTAGAAATGCTTGTAAATATCTGCAGGGTGGGTGTCAGGAGGACGGGGCCAGACTCTTTGCAGTGGTGCCCAGCGACAGGACAAGGGGCAATGGGCACAAACTGAAGCAGAGGAAGTTCCAGCTGAAGATGAGGAAGAACTTCTTCCCTCTGAGGGTGACGGAGCCCTGGAACAGGCTGCCCAGAGGGGCTGTGGAGTCTCCTTCTCTGGAGATATTCAAGACCCGGCTGGACGCGGTGCTGTGCAGCCTACTGTAGGTGACCCTGCTTCGGCAGGAGGGTTGGACTGGGTGACCCAGAGAGGTCCCTTCCAACCCCTACCATGCTGTGATTCTGTGATTCTGTGGCTGGGGACGAGGAGTTTCCTCGGTTTTCTGCTCGGCGGTGGCAGAGGTATCTGTGCGGCTGCTGTTTATTACGCTGGCAGTAATAGTTTAATGGACTCGCATGCAATAAATTGCTATTTTGTGTTCATGTGTGGTTTACAACAGTATGTAAGAGAGTTACTTATGCCTTTTAATTTGCATCATTCAAGAAGGCAATATGTTAAAGATGTGATTATGATATCAAGGGTTTGTGAAGTGGAGGGCAGACAGGGTTTTCCTTGCTCCAAAGATTTCCTGTCTGGAGAGCAAAAGTCATAAACATGACGACTATGAGAATCTTTTTCCTGGTTTCTTTTGCCTTTTTTTTTTTTTTTAAATTTGAGTCAAGCTTCTTTCCTTCTGCATTTGTATCGTCTTAAAAAATAATTAGTTTCAGGGTATAATGCAAGCGTTCGAACTAATCTGTGGAAGCCTTGTCATTTGGTAACCAAGTGCTGCTTTTACGTTCGAAGCTTCTTCAGCAGCGCGTGTGCTTAGTTTGACTCTTGCTCCGAAACAAGTGACGTGTCAGTCCCTGAAAGACCCGCTGTCCCTTAGCTAGCTTTTAAACTTTTTTGTTTTGTTCGGGGTTTTTTCTGTTGGTTACTTTCAGGGAGGTGCTGTGACAGCTAAAGGGGCTGTACCAAATCCATACGCACTGTGTCCTAGTTGGTGCCTTGATTATCTACAGGGATGTGACTTAGGGCTACGAGGATGATGAGGGGACTGGAGCATCTCCCCTACAAGGAGAGGTTGAGGGAACTGGGCTTGTTCAGCCTGAAGAAGAGAAGGCTGCGAGGGGACCTTATAAATGCCTACAAATATCTTCAGGGTGGGTGTCAGGAGGATGGGGCCAAGCTCTTTTCAGTGGTGCCCAGTGACAGGACAAGGGGCAATGGGCACAAACTGAAGCAGAGGAAGTTCCAGCTGAACATGAGGAAGAACTTCTTCACTCTGAGGGTGATGGAGCCCTGGAACAGGCTGCCCAGGGAGGCTGTGGAGTCTCCTTCTCTGGAGATATTCAAGGCCTATAAATATCTTCAGGGTGGGTGTCAGGAGGACGGGGCCAGACTCTTTTCAGTGGTGCCCAGCGACAGGACAAGGGGCGATGGGCACAAACTGAAGCAGAGGAAGTTCCAGCTGAACATGAGGAAGAACTTCTTCCCTCTGAGGGTGATGGAGCCCTGGCCCAGGCTTCCCAGGGAGGTTGTGGAGTCGTCTTCTCTGGAGATATTCAAGACCCGCCTGGACGCGGTCCCGTGCAGCCTGCTGCATGTGACCCTGCTTCGGCAGGGCATTGGACTAGATGACCCACAGAGGTCCCTTCCAGCCCCTGCCATTCTCTGTGATTCTGTGTGATTCTGTGTGACTTGAACCATAGGTATCAATCCTGCCGTGTGCAGGGCACTGCTGCCTGTAGGGATCCAAAGGAAGGATCCACTTAAAAATCCGATGCCGCAGACCCTGTGCTGCGGTCGGTGAAATCGGTGGCTGCAGTTTGGGTGGGATCCAGGCTTTCTGTTCAGAGCAGCGATCCTGTACAGAGCCCTTCGCTCGTGGAATGCACGAACGGGCTGTTGCTTGGCTCCCTGAGGGACACAGGTCAGCCTGGGTTGAACAGGGCCGATACAGCTGCATTTCCCTCAGGGGAAACGTTCAGCTTGGACATGTAGTCAGCTGGGAAAATACTGACCAAATAAGAGCATGGAACAGGGATGGGAAAGACCATCAGCCAGCAGCAGACTGGTTTCCTCAGCACCCATGCTGTTGGGTCTGGGCACAAAGGCACCGTGTGGGCAGCAATTAGCTCTCAGACCTTGATGTTTGGTGGCTGTAAACCCATCCACCTTGGCCCGGGTCGTGCTGGGGGTGGCAGCAATTATTCTAGGGCTGTTCTGGAGGTGTCTGTGGGAGAAGGTGACAATTTGGGAGGTGGTTCTGGAAAGAGGTTCTGGAAGAGCATCTGTCTGTTGTTGGTGTTGCTTTTCGAATTGCTAATAACGGCAGGGAACCAAACGTGGGAGATCGTTGCACAAGTTCAGTGATGTCCTGAATGCAACCACGTTGTGGGTTTTTTGCTTCTCAAAGTCTGGTTTGCTTGGCATTGAGTAGCTTTGGGAGATGTGTGTTTTTAGCCACTGTGCTTTTAAAATCAGCACGCTAAGAACCCTGTTAATGTGGAGTTGCGAGAATATGTGCACGTGCAGCCACGTATGGGTTGAATTCAGTTGTTACAAAGTGCACCCTTGGAAACCTCATCTCAAACGTTGTCAGCACGTCCTTCCTATTTTGCCAATTTTCAGAAGCTGCCAGGTAGCACCGTGTGGGAAGTGTTACAGGGCGTTACGGGATAAATCCTGAACTCCTAATTTGGGCCAAACTCCCACTGTTTTCAGTGGGTGGCTTGCTGGCGTTAAGGCCAAGTACCCCTTCGCTCTCGCAGATGACCTTTCTCTCTTTTTAAAGTCAAGGAGACTGGGAGTTGGTGCCTGCACCTTGTGTTACAGATCAAACTGCAGGACTGTGGCCCTTAAAATTTATACCTGCGCTTGGATTTGTGAACAAGAAGTTGGTTAAATAAAAACATTTCCAGTAACTGTTAGTTAGATTCTCAGTAATGCTGGTGAAATGCCAGAGATCTGAAAACAGAAATTAGCTGGTGATTAAAGCAGTGCAGAAAGAAGACTCTCATTCTGTAGGAGAAACACTGACGTTCTGAAAACGCTGCTTTTCATAAATGGAGAAAATATAACCATTTTTAGTTTAAAATAAAAACTTTAAATTCTTCCAAAATATCAACACAAATTAATTGAAATATTGTTTGTTCAGGTAATTTTTTTTTTTTTTTAGGAAAATGTTTCTATGAAATGCCTGCAACTTTTGTCTGAATATTGCTTTCTAGTAGGAGATACTGAATTGCATATATTTAGAAGTTGATAGTTTGGAAGTGGGTACCTGAAGTCCCCGAGTGTCAACAAAGAGTTGAGGTCATATGCTGTTCTGGCCTCTTCTGTCTGTGCAAGAAAGAGGAAAATGTTGTGTTTGGGATGGCAACGCTCAAAAAACCAAAATGATATCCCAATAGTAAAAAAAGAAAAAGGCCCCAGACCCTTTGAAGAACGTTGCTGCGCAAACCTTGTCTGGCCGGACGACTTCTCAGCCGACGTAAGAGCTCCTTTCCTTCACCTCAGTGGAGCATCGTCATTAAAGTCTGCCTGAACCCGGCTTGGCGTTGGCCTTGCGTGTTGTGGCAGGGCAGCCTAAGACCTTGCTCAGCTGCAGGTGAGGCTTTGAAGCCCACGCTGTGTTTTCTGCCTTCCCCGCTTCCTTCTAGCTGGTCTCTACCTGTTGGACCAGCTAGGGAGGGCTCTTCTGTCCCATCATCTGGGCTTGTTCAGCCTGAGGAAGAGAAGGCTGCGAGGGGACCTTATAAATGCTTATAAATATCTTCAGGGTGGGTGTCAGGAGGATGGGGCCAAGCTCTTTTCAGTGGTGCCCAGTGACAGGACAAGGGGCAATGGGCACAAACTGAAGCAGAGGAAGTTCCAGCTGAACACGAGGAAGAACTTCTTCCCTCTGAGGGTGATGGAGCCCTGGCCCAGGCTGCCCAGGGAGGCTGTGGAGTCTCCTTCTCTGGAGATATTCCAGCCCCGCCTGGACTGACCCACAGAGGTCCCTTCCAACCCCGACCATTCTGTGATTCTGTGATCTGGACTCGACAGGGGAGGAAAGGTTTTCCCATCCCTTTAGCCTCTGCTGTTGAGTTTCCCATCAGGATTGCATACACAGTTCTCTTTTTTTTAACTAAGAATGTGTTTCTTGTGCTAACTGAAGTTGCAGAAGCACCTGGAAGGGATTTTTTTCATGCTGTGTGCTCTGTAGCTGCTTGAATTGCCTTTTCTTTAAAGAGGTGATTGACTGATCGGAGGAGGGCAGAGCAAACAAGAAGTACTGGCACTTCCCCCCCCTCCCCCACTCTTGTGCCTCCAGGATCACAGATGGGGTCTGTGTGAGAACTGGGACGAGAGCTTGCATCTCCCAAGTATCAGGACTGTGCTCCACACGTTAAACCTCAAAATGAGGGTGTTACAGTACTGGTCCCAACTCCTTCACGGATTTTCTGCTCATGATTGTCACTTATCACCTCTGCTAATTTGTCTTCATCACTAAACTGGGGGCTTGGATGCTGTTAACTAAAAATCCACTTGCTTCAGGTCAGTGGTTGGAATGATGCTGCTTATCTCTCTCCTTTAGAGCCTCCCCGCTGCTTTTTGTGGCTTGTAATTGTGGAATTGGTGAGGTTGGTAGGAACCCCTGGGGATGGCCTCATCCATCCCCTCACTTCACCTGGTGGCAGCTGGAGCAGTTTGCTCAGGGGCATCCCCAGTGGGGTTTTAAGCACTCCCAAGGATGGATACGCCACCATTTTTCTGGGCAACCTGTTCTGTGGTTTGGTTCCCCCCTCCAGAAAAAAGGTTTTGTGCTTGGTTTTTTTGTTCTGTTTTGTGTTTTGTTTTTTTTTTTCCCTCCTTCTTACATTTAAGTGGAATTTTCTGTATTTCAGTTTGTGCCCATTGCCTCTTGTCCTGTTGCTGGATACCACCAAGAAGGGCCTGGTTCCATCTTCTTTACACGCCCATCAGGTATTTATGCATGTTTATAAGATCCCCCTGAGCTTTTCATTATGCAGGCTGAACAATGCTAGCTCTTTCAGCCTCTCCTCCTAAGTCAGAAGCTCCAGTCCGTTAATGACCTTTGTGGCCCGTCTCCAGTATGTCCATGTCTCTCCTGTACTGGGGAGCCCAGCACTGGTCCCAGCACTCCAGGTGTGCCTCACCAGCCCTGAGCAGAGGGGAAGGATCCCCTCCCTCGACCTGCTGGAAGTGTCCTTCCTAATACAGCCCAGATGCTGTTGACCTTACATGAGGAAGAACTTCTTCACTCTGAGGGTGACGGAGCCCTGGACCAGGCTGCCCAGGGAGGTTGTGGAGTCTCCTTCTCTGGAGATATTCAGGACCCTCCTGGACGCGGTCCTGTACAGCCTGCTCTGGGTGACACTGCTTCAGCCGGGGGGTTGGACTACATGACCCCCAGAGGTCCCTTCCAACCCCGACCATTCTGTAATTCTGTGATTCTGTGACCTTCCTTGCCGCAAAGGCGCTGCAGAGGCTCGTGGTCAACTTGATGTCCACCAGGACTCCCAGATCTTTCCCTGCACAGCTGCATTTCTGCCGGTTGGCTCCCAGTCTGTGCTGGTTATTCCTCCCGAGCGGCAGGGCTTTGCGTTTTCCATTGCTGAACTTCTCAAGGTTGGTGTTGGCCCTCTTCCCCAGCCTGTCCATAGCCCTCCGAGCGGTAGCACACCCATCTGGTCTGTCAGCCCCCCCTCCCACTCTGTGCCACCACCCAGAATCTTTCCTTTATGAAGAATCCAGAGCCCTGCGTGAAGTGTTTAATGAATCAAATCTCTCAACACTTCTTGAAAGTTCATTGTCTGATTTTCCCTGGTGAACAGCAGAGATGAAGTAACTTTCCCAGCGCTAAAAGAACATTGCATACTGTGCCTTGGAGTGAAGGACTTCATCGTTATTAAAGACTTTAATTCCTTGAATCTCGGATACTTCCTGCAATACCAGCTCAAGCCCTATCCTAACACCATAGCAACCTGCTATAAGTGTCACTGTATAATGTGGCTTGTTGGCCAGAAGCTGGCCAAGGAACGCTTTCTAGGGCAGGAAATCCATGAGGTCGGTAGGAGAGTGCGGTAGAATGAGAGAAAAACCCTATTGTAATTTAATAGTGTTGCAAAGTGATTGGTTTTTTCCTCCCCTAAACTGTGCCCCAGAGGAAACGGGGACATCAACTGAAAGTTTCTCAGCGCTTTATCTTTATCCCCCTCCCCCAAAACCTACACCCTAGGCACAGTCTAAACCTCTGGGCTAACAGATGGTGTTGAGAGGGAGAGGGAGGGGGAACGATTTGCATCTAAATAGCTGAAATAAAAAAGGGTCATGTCCCGCAGACCAGCCCCACTCACCTGCTGTTTAAATCCCCCTGAGAACCAGGCGAACGCGCTTCGTTTTTTAACGTCTGCATCAGCTGTACTTGCTCTCCGAAGCATTCTGTCCTGGAAGAGCTGTGAGCCCGGGCATCGTGCTGGATGGATTGTGTTCTGGCCCCAAAATGATCAACTCTTAAGGATTTGGCATCTTTGAATGCAGTTGACAGCCACTTTTGTTCAGCCCTCCCGTCGGAGTGACTGCTGTTGGCTGTCGTAATTAGCGCAAGCGCTAATGGTATAGAAAAGGTTCAGACCAAAGATTACCTCTTCCAGCAGCTTCATACTTGCTTGGCCGCGTGACTCAGACGTGCTCTTGCTGTACGGCCCTGTGGCCTCACGCCACGATATTCTGCTCTGTGTTGGCATGTGGGTGAGACGGGCTTCAGCCCTCGTGACCACCGAGCTGCGGCACAGCGGAGATCCTGGTCCCGCAGGACCGTGGCACGGTTCGGTGTTGGGTGGCCATGCTTAATCCCGCATAGACGCTCAACCAGGTTCCCGAGGCTTTCTGGCTGCGCGCTGTAAACAAATTGCCAGGTTAAACTAAGATCTTGCTGCTTCGTAATGATTTTCTTCTGGAGTGTAAAGGTGTAAAAGTTCTTCTAACTGTTCTTCTTCTGGGGGCGGGGAGGGGAAAAGAAACACTCGCCCACCTCTGCTACATGTTCATGGAGACTGCTCTGGGTCTGCCCCCTGTCCTAGCAGCAAGGGGTGAGCGTCTGTCTCTCCAGGCAGACTTTCTCAAAGTTTAAGGCTGCGGAAAGCCTGTAGTAAGGAAAATCTTCCCACTTCATCGTAGTTGCGTACGCTACTGACACACTGAAACTGTCCTACCTGATTTCCTACCCGTGTTTGAGGGACGCAGGCAGGGGAGGAGGCAAGAGCCCTTCACAGCTGAAGTTTAGTCTTAATGCTAAATACCAGGATGAGCGAAACCTGCTTCTACCCACCAGTTCCTTAGACTTCTACACTCAAATGCAGAAAATAAATCACATGAAGACGGTCCCAAGTGGTTCAGGAGCTTTGTTATTTTTGTCTGTTGGCGTCTTCTCCACCTCCCAATAAGCCAGAGGCATTTGGAGTTCGAGTTTGGCAGACCTGAGGGCTCAGCAGCACAGGGACTGGTGAAGGAACTTGGTGGGGACCCACCACTGTCTTCTGCATGGTGACCTGGTAGAAGAAAACTTCTGCAGAGGAGGATTCCTGTTCCTGGAATCAGAAGACCCTGAACCTCTTCTTTCTTCAACAAGAGCCTGAAGGGAGATTGTGAGGTTAACCTTGTCCGAGCTGCCCGGCCCTCCCTCCCGCAGGTGTCTTGGAAGGGGAGGTGGGCTCAAGAAGTGTCTTCGTTTTCTTTTCTCCTTTAATTCCGAAGTGCGTTTCCATACAGTGAATGGCAGTGGCTGTATGACCTGTATGCCTGAGGTCAGCGTGGATTTGGGCAACAACCTTGTTTATATGCCTTCGGGGAGTTGGTTTATTTATTTTTTAGATTAATACGGATTCCAGTTAGTGGAAACAAGATCCGGTGTATGCATACTTACAGAAGTAACTAGGCAGTGCGTAATACCAAAGTATATGAATTTGAGGTTGTGGAGTCTCCTTCTCTGGAGATATTCAAGACCCGCCTGGACAAGGTCCTCTACAGCCTGCTGTAGGTGACCCTGCTTCGGCAGGAGGGTTGGACTAGATGACCCACAGAGGTCCCTTCCAACCCCTACCATTCTGTGATTCTGTGTGATTCTATAATTCGGAGCTGCCTATTGTGCTTTATAACTTTTAACAGCTTTTTTTTTTTAGTACTTTACATCGCTCGAGGAGAATTATGTTTTATAAATGGTCATACGCTGCGTACGCACTGTCCGGCAGTGAACAAAGTGACTTACTTGGGTGGCACGAGTTGTACAGACGTGCACATAGACATGTGTGTGTGTGTACATACATTCACACACGCACACTCTCTTCCCTACTGCTTGCTCCATCTCTGCCCTGCTCCTCTGCCCCCTTCCCTTGGACCCCAGCTCAGTGACCCGTGGAGGTAACCGGCTCTGGCGGCTGTGCCGGCTTGTGCTGCTGCTGTCCCCCGTGGATAAAGCGCTTGTTATGCAGCGGGGCCCCGCGCAGCGTGTGAGAGCGAATCCAGAAAGGGAAGACGATTTTTGAAATGCTTCTTTTGTCTTTTTTTTTTTTTTAAATAAAATTTTCTAAGTTGTGCAGCTGGAGAAGAGACGCCTGTTACTCTTTGACAAAGGAGGCAAAAGGTGGAAATGCGAGGCGATAAGAGGCACCCCTTGAGGCGAGGTTTGCAGGTAGTGGAGTGAAGAAGAGGAAAATGGTGTTTACTGGCCTGACATGTACGCTTCTTTCATTTTATTGTTTTTCCTCCTTTTTTTTGAAGCAGCTTAGCAAGTGACTGACTGACATTGGAACATTGATTGCTCTGTCTTCCTGGCTCTCCAGCTGAGGTGCTTGTACAGAAAGGACCGTTCTGGTAGTTTACAGCGTTTTTTCAGTCACTTTCTGGGTGTGGAACTAATAAAAAAAGATGTGCTGGACTGGAACCATGCCTAAAGCAATCCTCAGGATAATAGGATTATTTGACTGATTTTTAATTAAAATAGAATTCTAACTAGATTATTTTGAGCATATATTCAGCCCTGGTTTGTTGTTACTGGTCTAATTGCCTCCTAAATTAGAGATACCAATATTCTAATTCACCCTTTCCCTCTGAGGACACAGATGTGGAGAGAGTGTGAAATGATATGTAAATGATATACAGGCGTGCAGGGTAGAAAATGGTCTTTAAAGACATTAGCCAAAATTTAGGTCTTCTCTTTACCTGCGATGTCTTGACAGAGAGAATGATAAATTGATATGTTTCTGTATTTATTTATTTCTCTGTCCTGATAGGTCTTTTAAACGCTTAGAAATATAACCTGAGAAAAACGCCAGTAATCTCAGCCTGTGAGGAAGGAGCAGTTAATGAATCTCCAAGGAAATATCCAGAATATGGATGCTCTGTGGGGGAGAGAAGGTTAGGAGCCAGCGGAGCAGGGGCTGCAGACAGTCCATCGGATCCAGGACAGACGGCGGCTGCTGATAACAGAAGATATTAAAATGACAGACTTGTGGGCTGATGGGCTCAGGGCGGCGTTTTGAGAGCCCAGTTCAAAGGGTCTTTGGGATTCGACCACTTGTATTCGCGATCTCTCGATTCAGCTTCGTCAGAAACAAAGCTTTAGGCTTTTGCAGATTTTTAGTTGTATTAAGGACTGAAACCCTCAGCGGAATTTTTGCCTACGGGGAGGGAAATTCAAACCACGCTAGAAGTTCAAGGAATATACATTAGGCTTAAATCCAACTTATATTTTTAAAGAAAAAAGGGGCCTAGCACCATGGCAGGCAACAAATTTGGATGTCTGTTTTATCATATTTTAATAGAGCAACAGAGTCTGATAAAACTTCATGAGGCTTTAGTTAAAGGTAGAAAGTTTAGTAGAGGCTTTAGTTAAAGTAGAATGTTTAAGCTCCGCGGATGTAACTAGATATGCTTTGAAGAGTGTTCACAGAATAAACAACAGT